TTCCTTGCTCTTTTTCAATTCTGAAGACATAAAAGCAGATCCACAACCAAACTTGGCATTCCAAATAATTGAAAAATAAAAATACTTCTTCCGGGAAGCTGCTGAAACATCAGGACATGGAAAATCAAAAGGAAATCGTCGATTACAATGAGTATACACTTATTATTGTTAGTCGAACTTGGTAATGGTCCTTCAGAATTCGAGGATATACTTTCCAATGGAACTGCTGCTTTTATTTTTGAAGAATCGAGGTTTTACTTGTAAACAAACTGACTTTAGTGCAGATTTGACAGTTTCTGTTAATCTTGGTTGGTATTTATAATAGCACAAATTCTTGATAAAGCATATATGTTTTCTCGTCCTAGTGAATGACGTTTCCTCAAGAAAAATGCTGTAGGAGCTCTATTTTGTGATAAACAACTTCCAATAGCTGGGGCGTCTGTTTCTACTGTGAATGTAAGATTTCCATCAATGCTTTAAAACTCGATGGGGCTTTTTGTGACAGAGGAAATAATTGTGTTTATACGAGTAAATCTTGGAATCTATTTCGCATAATGAGAAGACATCCCCTCCCAATAATCGTTTGAGTGAAGAATGATCTTCTGGGTGGCCGATGACCGATGTCGATCAGGTTTGATTTGTTGATTATCAATTGCATATCGTAGGAAATTTATTTTTCTTTGATTTTTAAGTAAGTTTATACTATTTAGCAATTTCAAATTATTTTAGAAGATTTTTAGTCTTAGGGCCTTTGAAAAATTGCATGTGTAAATTTCTTACCTGCCTTCAATTTTATCCCCAGTTATCTCTGGCCATCCCTGGTTATTCTCAGTTATCCCTAATTAGCCCTGGTTATCTCTTAACTACCTGCTAGGATATGGTCCTCTTTTACTATTGATATTTAATTTTGTCTGATAACTACCAAACGTTGCCAAATGTAATCTTCTAAGTTTAGCATATTTGCATTTGTTCAGTTATTCCCTGGTTATCGACGATTATCATTTGGTTATCTTTAATTATTTATTGGTTATTCTCGATTATTCCTCGGTTATCTCGGGTTATTCTTAGAATCTCAAGTTATCCTAGAGGATCCCAACTGATCATGTGAACGCAAAATCTCAACATGAAAAAATTTGAAATTTCATCATTTTGGTACTATAAAGCTACCTTATGATATAAATTTTTGAAAACTTTGCAGACCCATAAGTTTTTTTTCTATTACAGATAGAAAGCTGAAATTTTCAGAGATTCTTATCCCAGTAAAGGACTACAATCCCTGAAAATTTCAGCTCATTTGGAGTTCTAGTTCCAGAAATAAAACTGCGTTTTGGGATAAATTTATCCATTTTTTAATTTTCAGAGTGCCTTTTCTCACTGAGGACTATTACATCATCCATGTAATATAGAGCTTTGTTTTTCGCCATCAAGTCCCTGAAAATATGACTAACAAATCTTTCAAATACCGCAGGACAGTTACACAGGCCGAAAGGGCATCTAAAAAATTCGTACTAGTACCCTAATAGCACAAAATATTCAGAGAATGTTCCAGCAAAGTCCTGCGAAAGTTTGAATGTCCTAGACATTGAAGGAATGTTCCTGGAATATCTTTTTAGGTATGTTCACAGAATATTTTATCAGTATATTCTATGAATGTTCTAGGAAAGTCAAGATTTTTTAGACATAAAATGAATGTTCAAGGAATATTTCTGCAGGACGTTCAGTCTTATGCACGGAGTTTGTAAAAAAAAAATTGGAAAGATGTGTAGGTATTTTTGAAATTTTAATGATAAAAATAGCGCAAATTAAACTCAATACATTTTTGGTCCAATTTTATCAATTACATAATTAGTAAAATCCACATCAGGAGTTATTCATAATTATTAATTTTGTACTCCTACCTATATTTTATATTCGAAAACACATAAAAACCGATAAAAACCATAGAAACGTCAACTAGTAAGTTTCTATTTCCTTTTTAAATATAGCGCCTTTTTGGCGTATGAATATCGATCGTGTCACGTGATTTTTATATTTATAAATCTATCTGATCCACCATCACGAGACAGCCATTAGCCATTCCGGTTTTCTATGAACTAGACAAAGATCAACATTCCTGGTATATCCTAAGTAAATCCAAAAAATATTCCCTGAATGTATGTAGAACATACGAAGATATTCGGTGAATGTTCAATAAAATGTTCACGGAACATTCAAAATGCTGACAAAGGCTTTTCCCTGAATGTTCCTGGAATGTCTTAGAACATTGGGAGACATTCATGGAATGTTCCTTATGTCCTAAATGTATGTTCTGCTAATGTACATGGAATGTTATGTGCTATTAGGGTAGAAAGCCCGTATACTTAATCGAGTTTTCATCTATAGAGACGTGGAAAAATCCATTTTTTAGATCAATTATACTGAAAAATTTTGCTCCTTACAATTGATCCATGACATCTTCTATGACCGGTAAAGGAAACCTATCCTTTATGACGTTGCTATTTAATTTTCGGAAATCCCAATAAATTCTTACTTGTCCATCTTTTCTCCTCACCAAAACTATAGCACAAGAAAACTCGGATGAACTGGGTCAAATTATTCCCTCCTTTAACTACTCCTATATTTGCCGATCAAGTACGATTTTCTGAGAAGGTGGAAATCTTCGTGGTTGCATGCATATAAAATGTGTGTATTTCTTGGACATTAAACTACCTGTATCTCAAAAACTAGTCATAGGATTAAGTTGTGCCCAGAGTAGTGATTGATCAGAAAAGTGAGTTCTATAACATACTAAAATTTGGTTAAATTATAAACAATAAACAAAAATCCCATAAGAAGTGTGTGGGGTCCTTCAATTTTCTGAGTGCCTTTTTTCATAAATTTCGGCTTCAAATCTGAGAATAATTATTTAGTGTATTCAGTTTGAAGGATACCAAATGACCATTAGGACACAAAATTTTAACAAAAAAAAAAAAAAATTGAAATTTCATCGTTTCAGTAAGAAGGTACCTACCTTATGGTTTAGATTTTGGAAATCTTGGAAAGGTCATAACTTTTTTTCTATTGAATATAAAAGCTGAAATTTTTAGCAATTCTTATCCCAGTAGAGGACTATAAGATTATAATCCCTGAAAATTTCAGCAAAATCGCGCTTCAAGCACACCTCTTATGGGTTTTTGGTTTTCTGTCAAACTCAATAAAATTTTGATATAATGTGTTAGACCTTGACTTCCTGATAAAAAGTTTCCATGGGCCCGAACCAATCCTATGATTAGTTTTTGAGATACAGGTACTTTAATGTCTAAGAAACGTACACATTTTATATGCATTCACATCTACTTGTCACCTAATAATAGGTCTTTCTGCAGAAATCACAAACCAGTCAGAGCGAATTTAATTGGTTGAAAACAGTCAGAAAACTAGTTTCAACCAATGAAATTCACTCTGGCTGGTTTGTGATTTCTGCAGAAACAGACCTATTATTAGGTGACAGGTAGATGTGAATGCACCTGTATTTCGAAAACTATTCATAGTATCGGGTTGGGCCCATGAGAACTTTTCATCAGGAAGTCAAGATATACCACATATCAAAATTTCATTGAGTTTGACAGAAAACCAAAAACCCATAAGAGGTGTGCGGGGTCCTTTATCAATTTTTCAATTTTCTGAGTGCCCTTTTTCATAAATTTCGGCTTCAAATCTCAGAATGATTTAGTGTATGGAGTTTGGGGCGTCTCAACTGATCATATATTAATGCATAATCTTGATATAAAAAAAAATTGAAACTCCATCACTTTAGTAGGTACTAAGGTAGCACCTTAGTGTAGTACTTGCGGCTACAGACAAAAATGGACCCATAACTTTTTTCCTATTACAGATAGAAAGCTGAAATTTTCAGCGATCGATACTTATCCCAGTGGAAGACTACAATCCCTGAAAATTTCAGCTCATTTGGACTTATAGTTTCAGAAATAAAATCTCGTTAAGTAATTTGCTTGAGGTTTCCAAGGCAAATTTTCTTTTCAGTGATACTTCAAAAACTATTTTCCGGAATTCTTGCTCGATGTAATTTTGTGATTGTTTCTTAGATTAAATAGCTAAAAGGAGTAATATCTGCTTGCATCAAACAGCACACTTTCAAGGTATCCAGAGATTTCCGATAATGTAGAAAATTATGACCCAATATAATATCCGTTCAAAGATTTTTTATAATCAGTAATGTCAATTTCCTTCAACTTAAGAGATCAATGATAGTGATGCCATATTCACTCACTGCTGAACGAGGAAACTTGAATTGCTCAAGAAGAGAAGCAGAAACGTTTATGAAATTTGATGTGATACTTCCTGTATTCTTGCTAAAAGCAACTAAGATTTAATTTGAATGACTTGGATTAGAAGTTTTATTTTCAAGCAATTGAATACAGTGACAGCTTGGAAATTACATTAAGTAGCCAAAAGGTTCAAGGATTGTACTGATCTATAGATCCTGAAGCTTGTTGCTAACGGGTCATTCAGCATATATTGAACATTCACTCACCAATGCAAAAACCTATATGATTTTCCAGCAGAAGTTGTAGCTTGGTTGCATCTCTGAAATCTTCAAGCTCGTTGGTAATAAGAAAGTTCTCGAATGTCTTCTTCCTTTTGGTAGACGAATAATTTACTTTAGATCTTTCTGGACAGTAGAAACATTCCATTTCTTCTCCCGATTATTTCGTTCGAAAAATTGTTTTTCTTCTATGGAAAATTGTATCGCGTGGGTGATCCGTATACACGTGCTGGCTTAGAACGTGTCGTCGTCACGAGAACGGCCTCCAAACCGGAGCTGCCCATTGTTCGGGCGAAATTCCTAACCCTAATTATCTTTCTTTTCTTTTGCCTCGAACGCGCGTGCATAGAAGATAGAAGATATCATCGCAACAAATAAAAACGCCCGAGCAAAATGCTTCCTTAAACGTGATGATAACGAAATGAAAAACTGTTATATGTTTTACTTGTGTATCGCATTGTTCGCATCTAAGGAAAACATCTCTTTACAATACAATTTAGACACTATGCTTTTGTGCAACCAGGCTCGTGCTGGTTTGAAACGGCATAAAAGAACGTGCAAATATGTATAGGATCAAGATGGAAACAAGATTCACACAAAATATTTTGTATTTTACATTATTCTAATTACTTAAATTTTTATCAAGCTTTTCTTGTAGCTCAGCTTTATTCAATAAGTCAGTTTTCTCAAAAGACACCAGTTGAGTATTTTTTGAACGAGCCTCTTTGCTGTTCTGATCCATTTGAATCGATTTCAAAATAGCTTCGAGTTCTTCTTGCAATTGCTGAAGATGGTTTAGGATTTGTTCTTTTTGGGTTTCAACCTTTTATTGAAAATCTTTGTCAAATGATTATTATTAGGAGCAAAATTGAACTTACCAAATCACAATTGCTTTCCTCACTTTGCATTATCTACAAAAGACAGACTGGAAATTTTGGAGGAACAAATTTTTAATAAATGTTTGATGATGTAATGTCAAACAGAAATTTTGCTGTCAAATGAGTTACATATAGGGTGGATGTATTATTGACTCAAAGGCAAATCGATAAATTCTTGTCCAGCAACTAAACCGACTTGCCAGTTTTCCCGTCATTATAACTTTCTAAAAAACGACTCTATAATTCCATTAATAAGTCTTGAAAAACTCACAATATTAATCCATAAAGTAAAAAAACAAACTGTGTACGATAAAATCGAGTAAAAATTACCTTGTATGGCAGTCGAGCATCCGGCCCAGGACTTATTAGAAATGCAAAAGAGCATGTAAAACGTAATTAGGCGATAGTATCAAAGGGGACCGTGTTGTAAAATACAAATAACCGTATTTTAACTTAATTTTAAGTGTTTTGACCATAACCGTTTAATACTTTTAGATTGGCAACGGTAACGACTAGAGGACATTGATAGATCATATAGTTTTTCTTAAAAGAATGTTGAAGATGGATTTCCCATAATTTTATCAACGAGGATCAAGTCAATCGGCTTAAAGCTGAACGTAATCAAGAGTCATGAATAGTTTAGATTTTCATTATTATCAGCTCTTCTGTAGAAACATATTTTTCTAGTGATTCAATAGCCAGTAATGATCAATATTTCAAAATTTCAGCTCTTGATTTCTTCTGGAGAAGTTTTCTAATGATTCAAGCGCCGGTAATATTTAAATTGTTAAAAAGAAAAATGTTCCAGCCGGTGATAATCAGTATGAGAATCTTTCTCGGCTCTTGATGTGCTTTAGAAACATTTCCTAATGATTCATGAGCCAGTAGATTTCGGCTTTTCAGCCGCTCAGCACTGCTACCTTTGCAGCTATTTTGTACGTGACTTTACATCTTAAGTTGTCTCCAGGAAGGACTTCTGCCGAAGGAAGCTATTTTCCTGGTTGTCAGTTGGCCCACTTCTTCTGGTGACAGTGTTGCCCCCTCGGGAAATTTGAGCCTCTTGTAGAATTGGGCTGGACATTCGCAGAGCAGGTGCTCTGCGGTCTCTATTGCGTCTGAGCAGAGATTGTCTTATGCTCTGCCCATCAATCTTAAATGGTATTTTACCAGGCAGTGTTCTGTGGGCAGTCCTACCACCAATCTGATGTCTGGTCTGCTCATGCTTAGGAGCTGTTCAGCTCTTTTTGCTGAAAGGTTAATAAACATTTTTGACTGTACCTGAGTCCCGGAGTGTGTTTCCAATATGATGACAGTTGGTCTTTCTCCCCATTTGTTGAGTTCTTCCATGATGTGGCTTTTCATTAAGCCACAGTAGGGCTCTGGTCCATGGTATGGTGTTGAGGCTCCTCAATTTGCGAGTCCATCTGCGTCTTCGTTTCCTTCTATGCCTCGATGACCAGGCAGTCACATCAGCGTTACCTGGTTGTGTGTCGCTAGTGTTTTTATAGGGTCTGTTTACACTCGCAGACTAGTTTTGACGTGCATTTGATAGCCCTTAAGGCTTTTAAGGCAACTTGGCTGTCCGATAGTATGAAAATGTGTTTTCTTTTGAGGCTTTGGTTGAGACACTCGTGCACATATATCTATGGTAAGCAGTTCGGCTTGAAATATTGTAAGATGTTCACCCAATGGCTTGGAGAGCTTATAGTTAGGGCCAAAAATGCGCAGCTTCCATTAGCTTGGATCCATGTGTGTACCACAGAGATGCATTGTCTGCTTGTGGTAATTCTTTACTCTCCTAAGATTGGCGGTCGTTTATTATCACTGCGAATGGAATCTTTAAGTCCAATCTGACTATCATGTGGTCGCTTAGTTTGCTGGCATTCTCCAGTTTTATTAAATCAAGGATGCGCAGATGCAGTGTTGCCAGATGGAATAAAAAAAATTCGTGAGAATCGAGAAAGAAAAATCGTGAGACTAAAAATTGCTTAATATAATAAGAAAATAAAGCACAACAATGTTCTTTTATAAATTTTTGATAAAGTAAACATGATTTTACATGCATAAGAAATGAAACATTTTTTTATTAAATATTGTAATCATTGTTTTTTTCGTTTTTTAGCAGGTATTTCTGAGAGATAACCTCGTCTTCACTATCCGCAGGATTGCTCATTCTAATAAGGCGTAGGTTCCCCAATCTCGAGTCGGCAGCTGGTCTGCGAGTGTCGTCACTACTATTAGTAGCTGATAGTGGTGATGTAACCCGCAGACCTTGTTGGATTGCTTGCGATTCAGGTTGTGCTTGTGAGCTAATTTCTTTGTCGATTTTAAATTTAAAAAGGTAATTTCAACTGCCTAAAGTTAAAGTCTGCAGCTGACGTCACAAATAGTGGGATCTCGTGGACTTGGCAGACACTTTCAGCTCAATAAGCACTAAGCAGTCCTATTAGGTTAAATGTTCTTGGGCGCGCATGTACCAGGACTCAGGAGCGGCGTAACATAAGTAAATATTGTATAGTAGATTTTTATTCCGTTTATTTTTGAATAAACATTAGATTTGATTATTGATTTGTATTACTACAGACAGAATTCGTAAGAATTGCTACCTCATTCGTGAGATCGTGAAATTCTGACCAAAATCGTGTAATCTTACGAATAATCGTGAGATCTGGCAACACTGCGCAGATGTCCCTTCAGATCACCAGGCTTGAACTTGTCTATTTGGAATAGCCTGTGAGCGCTGGTTATTGCCTCCTTTTTCACACATAGGTGAAATGCAGACATGTTGAGTAGCGTCTCTAGGGCTACGGTGAGGCAATAGTTGACATTGCTCCCGTTATTCCTAGACATATCAGCCTTTGTACCTTTTTTGGGCCACCACTCCAATGAGGTAAATGTAACCATGGGTTTTTATTATGGTTTGGTAAATCGAAAATACCATCTTTGGCTTTAGCCCCCATCATGTTTTGCCAACAAGTTTGATGTAGCTCGAGAGCATGTTTTCTCTAACTGTTTATTCCAAGTGAGTGTTCGGTCCAGGGTGACCCCTTAGTACTTCACTTCGTTGGAAAATGTTAGTTGTGTACCGTTAAGTTCAAATGTAGCTTCCTTCTTCTTGTGAACGGGACAAGGATTATTTTAATTGCATTTAGGGATAATCCCTCGCCTTCGCTCTAATTTTTAACGATGTTTAGGGCACTTTGCTTTGAACATTAATAATGATCAAGAGCAGACATATGCAATCAAGAGCCAGGAATAGTGAAGCTAAAAAACGAAAAATAATTCTTGATTGAAGAAATCTACAAAAAGAATAAGCTACATTTTCCGCACACATACACACAACTATAAATCCTCTCCAACAAAACGTATGATCTCCGCTGATAGATCCGAAACACAGAACAGAAAATGCACCGTTCGTTCGTTAAACAGACCATTTGTCTTTGTAAACGTTTCTTCTCTCATTTTGCCTCGCAATTTCATAAATCATTACAAAACCGTAGCGTTTGCAGATTATTTACAGTCACAATAAAATAAATGTATCTTTCCGCGTGCAGGCTTAATATCACATGTTCAAGTACTCTTAGCCAGTCACCCGTGAACGATTCAGTTTTGTGATATGTCAAACCCGGTAAGGCCAACAATGGTTAGTGACCGGTACTATATAAATCCGTTTTTTTAACAATAAAACTAAAATAATAGAAACAGCACACCTATGACAACTCAATCTCATGATGCTAATAAAATATTATTATTGACACTTTTTACGATCATTGTAAAAAAAATCAAGTCCTAGTCAGATTGTCATGGTAAAAAGAATCGCCCGACTGGAACTAATCGGTACTACGTGCGTCAAAAAGAACAAGAAATGAATCTGGGTGGTGCGTGGTGACGCGGTACCATCTTCGATCTCTGTCAACCGCGATTGGGTCATTTGAGTTCATTTTAATAAGTTGAACTAGATTAACAGCAATACCAATTATTGATTTTGAATAGAGGAAACACTTGTAATAATTTATTGTCAACTATTTTAATCCCTAAACAAAATTGAATTTTGCCCAAGCTTAAATCATATTCTTATGCAAATTCCCATCTCTGTAATGCCTTATACGACCGGGATAAGTACTGCTCTAACTGAAATTAAAAAGTTGTAGTACACGGCCGGTACACCAGCTTTGTATCATTTACATGAACCCGGCGTATCGTTTATCACTGTTTATGTGCACGATAGAAATAGATGATTTTTTTCTGAAAAGGGGGATTGTAAATCACTGAAAAATTCCTTACCGAATAGTCAATAATACAAACGGACATGTTTATTGACAGAAAAATCGGTCGTATAACATGTTATTTAAATTTTCACGGTGTTATAGTTATTATGAACCATAAACTTGTAAGATTTACAACCTGGGTACGACGAAACAAATTTGAAAAAAAAAAACAACTCTCAGCAGGATATAATGTAGGTATTGTATTAAGGGCTCCAAATCCATAATAAAACCAAAAACCAGCAGGTGGTTTTTTGTTTGTGCCCATTTTCCAAACGTTACTTATTTAGTAAACTTGTTGACATTTCGGTGTTCGGGTCGTAAATAACAATAATTACTTAAGGTTTTGCGCCAGCAAATAATAATGCTGGGTGTAAACTGAACGCCATAAATTGCCATGGTTCGGTTAAAATTAATGTTTTCATTTGCAGGAATCGTGTTGCTCGGCTTTTACGTATATTAAATAATTATTGCCAATATTGGATTCAGTAGGGGCGTGACAACTTCACTTGAGGCTCATTTTGATTTTTTCTGTTGCAGGTTGACTAACTACATAGGTACCAACTGCATTTGGTAAGTATTCACTTATTAGAGTTAGAAATTAATTACCTGTGTTTAAAGTGCTGAAGTCAAAGATCTGCTAGAAGCTGAATCTGAAACTTATTGGGAGTTTGAATCTTGCAGCTTGAAACTTGAAGTTTCAATGTGGCTAGAATGAGATTTTGAGAACCAAAAGTCGAAGGTATTACGTTTAGTATATAAGAACTTTGGAATAATATATTAAAGGAATTAGTAGGGAAAAAAAAAGTGAAATACAAAGG